AATGGATTCTGTCTCATTTGTCGCGAATTTCGCACCATTTCTCAGCCATGAAGCGCCAGTGAACTGTCCTATCAGTTGGACAAATACATCTAATAATAAGTATGGCTGTGACTCAGCCTCAAGAGTTGTCTGCCACCTGCAATTAAAACGGAAGAAAATGCTGATTAAAAACCACTTCAAGTCGTATTTAATTAGAAGGTATTATCTGGCAAGTGGGTGGGCTGGCGGCTGGTGACTGGTGGATTGTAAAATAAATAAATCAATAATCATAAAATGTGCAAATGCATTTTGGCTGCTTTATAAATTTCATTAGGCATAAGTGTAAACATTTTGACATTGATGTTGGGTCTTAAGAGCTACTCAGAGCTGGAGACCCAGACGAATGCTTGTCTGTCTGTCTGTCTGCGTATTGGACTGTTTGCTGTGTATATTTCTCGGACTAAGTCCTGCGTCTCGGACTGTATTGTGTCCTGCCTGTTTGTGTGTCATGGCATTGTGTCTCCTGCCCGCTGTATTTCTATCTTTCTGTCGGTTAATCGTGTTCTTAACATCATTTTCGTCAAGAAACACCAGAGGATATGGTATGCATTGAAAGGTAAATTGAAATGTTTAGCAACTTAACTTGAGAGTAATTTAAAAATGCTTAAAATTCTGCATAAATAGCAACCGCAAGCGAAAGTGAAATTGAGAACAACGCTCTCTCACTCTCCCTCTTTCTCTCTCTCTCTCTGTGTTTTCCTTATGCTGCTTTTTGGCCTTGTCTAATGGACGCCTGCCAACAGTTGGCTCAAAATCTACTGGCTCCTTTGGGTGAGGTGGCAACCATCTCCTCTGCTCTTCGCCTTCTTCAATTCTAGCAGGAAGAAACATTGTATTCGAGTCAGGTGCGTTGTGAATTTTGCTGCAACAGTCATTATAATAATGCCACAACGAAGTGTGCTCGGAAATAATAATCAACTTGAGGGTAAGAGAGAGAGAGAGAGAGCCAGAACCAAGCACAGCTGCTGCTGCTGCTGCTGCTGCTGCTGCTGGGGGCTCTTTTGATGGTTTCAGCCTTGGACTGGCTGGCTCTTCGTGTGCAGCAAGTCAGGCACTTAAAATTTCATTTAAATATGGACTACTACTGCTACTACTCCGCCCGTTGAAAGTGCAATCGTGCATTTGTTGCAGTTGCCACTGCCGGCATTGTTGCAATAATCGCCTCAAATAATAACTTTAAGTGCATAATTTTATAAAGTTCTCCCAGATCCATTTATAGTTATTCGCATTCTTATACTTGGTCTTAATCTTCTTTGTGAGGATGTGAAAGCACGTGAGAACATTTAGCCGTAAGCTAAAGGAAAATCCAATTTAAAAATTGAGTGCAGCAAATATGGCTCAAATGTGTGAAAAGGAGTTCAATGGCGGGTATCCAGGGAGGGCAAACTCAATGCAACTGCTACTAAATGAAGAGTTATATCTAGTCAATTGATTGACTAATTTTACTACTACAATCACAGACTGATTATGGTAATTGTTGGCCATTTTCATGAAATTCTGACGAAGTTTCATACTTTTCCCCAAACTTTTCCATTCGATTTTGGCCCTCTTCAAACGCAATTCATGAACTGCCAACGTTTTCCAATTGTTTGATGGACACTCTAATAAGTAGAATACAGTAACATGAGAGATAGATTAACCCTTGGTATAGCTGTACAGTGTACACCCCCATGGCGCCCCGCATCGTTGTCGTTGTCGATGCGGATGCCACTTACCTTTTCAGTATACATTTACATGTCTAAATAACCCTCCTGTGTCTGTCTGTGTGTCTGTTGCCATAACATTCGATTATCCCTTTTGGCTAGCCACGATTTCAAATCCTATTTCTGTTACTGATTTTCGGGTGTATATTTTGCATTTCGGTTTAATTGATTTTGTGCAAATTTCGTACAAAATTTACGAACTTTTCACTACCCCTCCTCACTCGGTTGTTGGGCAAATCCATTTAGTGCTAATTGTTTGCATATATAGTAGCGTGTTTTTTTTTTTCTGTTTTGTTTTTGTATACCCGGAATCCTGTCCTGTCCGCATTTACATAACGAATGTGGTGGTGGGCGGGGGTGCAAAGGGATAAAATGAGTGAGTGGTTTGGCAGGACTACGAAATTTATTTATATATTTTTGACACGCACTGTGCACAAATGTCGGCTGCTCTGGTGATTAAAAGCAGATTTTATTCAGATTGGTTCGGATTGGTTGCCTATAACCGTTTCACATAAACAATTCAAATTTTCAGACTGTTGAAATCGTGACGTTGAATTGCAAATTAGTCATTTACCAAATGGGATTTTTGAAAAAGGTTTTTGTTACTTTTTTTGCCGCCATAATTAGTTGTGGATCAGGGGGAGGATACATGGGCTTGCTCTGGCTGTACAGACTAGTAAGTATATTGAATAATTTTGCATGTGTTGCATTAATTATAACTGCTGTATATCTGCTGTAAATTATTATTAAAGTAAATCGTACAGGGTTGGTTCAAACTTATATTGATAAATATTTTCACGAATAAATTAATTTTACATATTTCATATTTAACCATATATCAGACACTCTAAGAGATCCATAATGAAAGTTATCACTTGTTTCTGATTTTTGTAAATGCATCTAATAGATAGAATGAAGAAGAGTTGCCTAATATACTGACTAATAAAATACCCTCAACTGCAGAAGGCATATTCGAATTAAAAGTAAGAGTTATAGTAGCAAAGCAGGGGGAAGAGCCTTCTCTGACTCCCCGCGCTCACTAGTCACAAGAAAAGCAACAATTTTAGAGTAATAAACGAGAAGGAACGTGTGAGTCGTTTCTGGGGACACGACTCTACTTATACCCGTACTCAGTCAGTATATACATACATTTTTGAGCTTATGATTTTTTAGAATTTTAGAAAAAAAAAAAAAATTTTACATTTTACATTTTTTTGCTACATATGCTATCTACATCTACATATAAAATGTCTATTATACATCTAACATGTAGATTGTACATGTTCCATTCATATTCTACATCTCCTCCGCTAGGGGTTGCTCGCGCACTGAACGCGGCAGAGTGTGCGAGCGAGAAGGAAAATGAGTTGTGTTGTTGTGTCAGGAGGGTGCAGGGGAAGTAACAGAAAATTAATTTCTTCATTCTGGCTATAATTATGATCCGATCTGATTCAGATTCGGCAATCTGGTAGATATGGGCATTCTCTACGATACTGCATTTTTAGTTTTATCGTTTCTTTAAAATTGTGCCTGCCACAGATTTTCCTTCTTTGTGGGGGCGGAAGGAGGCGGGGCGAAATTTTGAAATACACTTGTAGCAGTGTGATATCACATGAGTCTGGAAACCAAATTTGGTTGCCCTAGCTCTTATAGTCTCTGAGATCTAGGCGCTCAACAAGACGGACAGACAGACAGACAGACAGACAGACAGACGGACAGACAGACATGGCTATATCGACTCGGCTATTGATGCTGATCAAGAATATATATACTTTATGGGGTCGGAAACGTTTCCTTCTCTGCGTTACACACATCCACTTTTACCACAAATCTAATATACCCCTTAACTCTTTTTTGAGTACGGGTATAAAAACCACATTTGATTTTGTTATTGCAATGCCAGGTACCTGCCAGCCTGCCTGCCTGCCTGCCTGCCTGCCTACCTACCCAAGCAATGCCATGCAATGCACCAGCAATGAACCTTTTTTTCGCCTCCTTCTTGTTCTCCCTTTCGTAGACCACTTGGTCGATCGCAGCTTGCCGAAAACCTTGCTTATGCTCGAGAGATAAGCTCGTTCTCTATCTTTCTCTTTCTCTCACACACTGCCATTTTATGTTGTTATTGTAAGGCAAATATGTATATTATTTGAATGCAAGACACACACCACTAACATAGCAGAGGAGAATTCCTCTCTGATGCTCTTCTTTGCCTCTCCCTCCACCAGCACGCCTCCACAATTGTTTTTTGTGCGTACAAAATGTGGAAAGTCAATCGAAACTTTTTAATTTTAATTTACATTAAAATTTTGTTGACATTTTATTAGCTTTTGCCATTTGTTGGGTGTCGCCCTCGCGCTTTTTATAAAATATACATATAAAATTTGCATACAAAATTTCCACACATTTCAGGACACGCTTGCTGCAGTCAAAGTTTGTTTTTTAATTTGAATTTTTTTTTATATATTTGCATAACTCAAAATCTAGACAAACAGCAGCAACGGAGCGGCGGATGGGTGGGTAGGAAGAGAACATTAAAAGGAAAAGGCACGAAAAGCAAATATGAATCATACGCCACGCCACATGTGTGGCGAATGTTCGTGCGAATGGAAAAAATAATCTAGAAATATAATTACATTAAATGGAACCAGCGAGAGACAGGGAAAGATAAAGTTTAATGACTTTTATTTTTGCTGTGAAAGATGGTGAAATAAGGGGAAATTTTATGAACATCTTGGGTAGCGAAAAGAAAAAGTTATCGTTGCAATATTTAACTGAATCTTTCTGGAATAAATATTTCATTAAACATTATCGCATGCCAAGAAGATGATGATATATATCATTTCTCATAGGAAATATTTTGTTGATACAACCGTATTTCTAAAGTCATATTTTACACATGTTTTCAATCATCTACCAGGATATAAATCAATTAACAAAACAAATTAATAAACCAACGATAATTTAGATAGCGTCGCGGATGTGGTTTAGATATAATATATGTATGATTATTGCCAGAGATCCGTCAAACCACAAAGAGAACTCGTAAAGAGAACCCAAAAACGAAACGAAACAAAACGTAGCGAAAGAGAGATAGAGAGAGAGAGAGAGAGAGACAATGCCAATTGAGGCTCTGATATGTAAGGTAAATAAACACAAGAGCAAACATCTCTCCACAAAGATGATCTACAATACAAGCTACGTTTACGATTTATACGGATCATTATCATCTAGTAGATGCGCATGGCCCGCACACACCAGTATCATTCGCCAGTCGCGTTTCGTGGCTGATAGACGTGTGTTGTGATCCAGTGATATGTATCCGCAATTGGAGACGGATGCTCAGGCCCAGGAAAAGGCAACGGCTCAGAGTCTCTTGGCCACGAGACATACACAAACGGAGGACGAGAAACCCGCACCAATATCCAAATGGAAACGTCGCCTGCATCGTCATGTGCCAGCAACCCAATGGCTACCTTTGTACTCTACAGAATGGGGCATCGATGATTTTATAGCGGGCATTACATTGGGCCTAACCATCATACCCGAGAGCATGGCCTGTGCCCTGCTTGCGGGTCTGCCGGCACGCTATGGCCTGTGTTCGGCCTTCATTGGACCGTTGATCTATATGGTGTTTGGTTCCATTGATAAGGTTATCATTGGACCCACCAGTCTGGTGGCGTTGGTCAGTGTACAATTTACGGTGGGGCGACCGATAGAGTTTGCATTTTTGCTTACATTTTTCAGCGGCATTGTACAGATAATTATGGGTGCTCTAAGACTAGGTGAGTGTATCTATCTATTTATCTATCTATTTATCTATTTATCTGTATGTTTTTGTGTGATCTCATTGCTAAATTGATTCAAGTGTTACTGCGGTGTCTGATGTTCGCCTCCCTGAACTTGAGACATAACCGAAACGAAACCAATTGAGTTGTATGTACGTCAATTTATTAAGTTATATGATAATTCATATGCACCTATTTAGCATCAATTAGCACCTTCCTTAGGTGATGATTGCACTGTTTATTCTCATTGAAATCACAATAAATTGGGGTCTACAGACTCTCATATGATATGATTCATTTAAGATTAAGTTCCATTGTGATTATTTTCTATATATTTAATAGATTTGATGATAAATTTGTTTATTTATTTGGTCTTTTTTTTATCTTGATTTTTAATTAATTTGATTTTAAGCTTTAAGACTAAATTTTATCTTTAAAATTAATAGTTTTGTAACATAAATTCTATTTTATTATTCATTTATTTGTTGCTGGTTTAATTTGTAATACCCCAAAGCGTGAATGATTTATTCGTTATTTTAGTATATGAATAATTTTTTTGTTTTTCTTCTTTGTACATTTAGTTAATTTTTTTTGTCACCTAACTTCATATTTTAATTTTATTTTTACAGGTTTCATCTTTGAGTTCATCTCAATGCCTGTGATCAAGGCCTTTTCCTCAGCCACTGCCATTTTGGTGATCGAATCACAGCTGAAAGTGTTGCTGGGCATTAAGTACTTAGTGGCGGGTCTTTTAAGCTCTGTCTCTACCCTAAGTTCTCGGATCGATGAATCGAATATGGCTGATCTCACTATGGGCATTTGTGCTATAGCTTTTCTGCTTTTACTTGAGGTTTGTGTCCATAAACTAGCCCATCCCACATATACCCTAAGCATTTCTCTCTCTCTCTCTCTCTATTTTGTAGCTACTCGAACGCGTGGCTAGCAATGAAAATTATGGAAAAGTTACACGGATCTGCTGTCGCTATTTATCCACCTCTAGGAATACTCTCATCGTTCTTATCGGGGGCATTGTCACCTACGTTTGGCTGCAACAAGCGGGCCACGTACCTTATGCTCTTAGCCAGAACGCCTTGGCCACTTTGCCCAACTTTACGATTCCGAGTCTGCAGATTGAAACGCCCCAGCGGAACTACAGTTTCTGGGATATCTTAAAGGAGCTCAATATGGGGATTATTGTCATACCAATTGTGGGCATACTCACGAATATATCGATTGGAAAGTTGAGTGAGTAATTCGCATGTCTAGACGTAGCGGGTAGCACTCGATTCTTAAGGTCTTAAAGTGTATTTGTGGTGACATATTGTCAATGTAAACAAAGATTGTGTCGAAAGAAACCTTTGAGTAATTGGGAGATACATAAAAAAAGTATGATACATATATACAAAATCAATAGTAGTACCCCAGAAATCTATTGAACTTGCTTCTAATACTATTCAGCCTTTCCCCATAAACTTATTACACTGAAGAAACCCTGAAGAACAATTTGAATCTATAAAATTATCCATCCATTACAACTTTTAACTAATATCTCTCTCTCTCTCTCTCTAAAATCCCTTTTGTCAGCTCCCAAGGGGCTGGTGGACACAAATCAAGAGCTCCTCACCGTGGGACTGTGCAATATGTTTGGCTCTTGTGTCCAGGCCATGCCCTCGTCGGGTGCCTTTACCCGCTATGCCATAAGCACGGCCTGTGGCCTCAAGACACCCATGGCAAATCTTTATTTGGGTAAGCCATAAAAAAAGTGACATAATTGCAGAAGAAACAATAATATTTAACTGTCTACGCTTAGGTATCATTGTGTTGCTGGCTTTGAGCTATCTCAGTCCGTACTTCAATTTCATACCGGAAGCCACACTGGCGGCCATTCTGATATGCTCGATAATCACGCTGCTGGACTTTAAGCTGCCGCTGCGTTTGTGGCGTGACTCCAAGCGTGACTTTGCCACCTGGCTGCTGTGCTTCTGTGTGTGCGTGCTGTTCGGTGTGGAAGTGGGTCTGTTTGTTAGCATTGTGGTGACGGCTTTGCATCTGCTATTCCTGTGGGCACGTCCCGAGGTTCGTGTGAAGATTGAGGAGCTGGATGAGATGCAGTATATCCGCGTGACGCCCGGCAATGGCATCTACTTTCCGGCCATCAATTACCTGCGGGAACGTGTCCTCAAGGCCTGCACACAGGCGAATTTCAGCATAACCGTTGTCATCGATGGCCAGAGCATTACGGGTCTCGATTACACCGCCGCCCAGGGTATATCGAAGCTATCGAGCGATCTGTGCCGTCAAGCGGATGCTGCCAGTTCCACTCTGTTAATTCTGTATAGATTCCAGGAGCCGCTCAAGCGTTTGATCGATCACACGGAAAATCTAGTCTTTTGTGAGACTGAGGACAGGGTCAGGGAGTTCTTGACCCAGGAATCACTGCGTAATGGTTATATCAATCTCAAGGAGCACATACGGGCATCCATAGATTTGGGCTATAAAATAGACATCGATTAGGGCATGGCAACGCCACCCCCCCCTGCTGTGATGCTGCTCTCCTCTTTAGCTGGTCGTTTGTATTATTTATTTAAGTTTAGTTTGAGTCGGAGAAATTGTCGCCGGGCAAATGGAAATAAAAAGTGAAAAGAAAAGTGGAACAAATGCCTTGATGGGGCAGCAATTTATAAAATCCTATCCCCCCCTTGCAGCTAGCTCTGCGCGACCTCTGCCACTCATTTGCACTCAAAGAGAGAGAGAGAGAGAGAGAGAGTGAGAGCGAGAGCGAGAGAAGTGTGAAAGAGATGGAGGAGTGTATGTAAGAGAGAGAGAGAGAGGGAGAGAGAGAGACAGTTAGATAGATGCGGTGCCGCTGGCGACGCCGTCAATGATTGCCCAGCTAATGGATTTCTGTTTACTTTTTCACTTAGTTCCGGACGCCAAAAGAGGAAAGAGAAAAAGAGGGGGCATAAGGAGAGGAAAAAACGCTGTGAAAAATAACGCATAAGAAATTAGAGAGAAAAAAGCGAAAGCTTCAGAGCCAACTATTCAGCTTCCCTTGCCTTGCCCATTCCCTCAACCCAACCATCGCATCCAAAAGGTAGAGAAAACAAAACTATAGAAAACTGCAAGAAATTAAACTAAAATCCTAGCCGTAAAGTGGATCAAACGCAGTGAAAACAAAGTGAAGGAATAATTGAAATTTCCTTAGGCGAAAATCGAATAATAAATACTCTTTATGGCAAAAGAAAACGTGTAACTAATTTTGTACAGAATTAAACATAATTTTGTAAAGTAGTTTTTGAAATTCGACGATTTGTTTCTAATTTAATGTATTTTTTGGTAAAAAAAAAAAATTTGTACTAATTAATTTTTTAATTTTATTTGTTTTATTTTTTATCTCATTTTAACCTTATTTTAGAATTACTTTATTGATTTTAGCCCAAAGTTGTAATACAAAATATAATTTCTATATAAGCACTAAAATTTAATTGATTGAAATTAAATAAATAAGTCGAATATGAACATAAAAGGTAAATATTTCTTGCCATAGGCATCCCCATGTCCTCTCGATAGCACTATATTCCCATACACACAAAAAGAATTTTTTTTATAAGCTGTAACTGTACAATACCTAGAAGAACGTTTCCTTTAGCTTATTTACCCTTTTTTAAGGAAGAGTATTTAAAAGAAATCAAGAAAAACCAGACCCAAAGCGAGTTAATTACGTAAGGTTAAGAAGAGAGTGGGAAAGAAAGGGGGAGAGTGAAAGAATAGTTAGAGATGGGGCAAAGGGAGAACCTACTGCCCGTAGGATCTAAGTAGATTTCAAGCACTTTGAGGCGTTGTAAATGAAATGCGGCGGTAGGTGCTACCCTTAAACTTCTCCTAAACCTCGAAGCGCCTATCCTGCCGCTCCTTTCATTCCACCCCCCCGTTGCCGCGGCCGTGGCTGTTGCTGCTGTTGTTGATTGCATTGGCAAACGAAGTGAGCAGATTTAATGAAATTTAAAACGCTGTCCAGCACTTGTCCAACGGATAAGCGCCACAGACAGCGAGACAGCCAGAGAGAGAGAGAGAGAGGGAGAGAGTGAGTGAGACAGCGAATGAAAGAGATGCCAAAGGATAATGCGGTCAGCCGAATGCAGATTGGACTTCAGATGCAAATTGCCCCCGCCCCCACTGGTAATTATTTCAATGGACTCTATTTGCGTAGCTTTTCAACTGCTCGCCTGTCGATTTTCCGCATTGTTAAGCTAATGAGGATTTTCAGGCTAAAGGAAAATCCTCGCCAAAGAAAAAGGTACAGGAGTAAAATCTATAATTAATATGCTAATATATCGATGAGGGGAAATCACTTTATGTCCACAAAACCACAAAAAAAAAAAAAACCAATATCATTGCCCATATCACATGTCCCGTGGACCACAAAAACCAAATATCATTCAAATTGCGGTTCATGCAATCAAATTTTCACACACAAAATAAAAAAAAATGCCACACACACAGGCACAGACAAAATGATCAAACGTGTACGAGTATGTGGCACATTTATTTTGCGGCCAGACGGATCAAACAAAAACTTGTTGACACACAAAAGCCAATGAAAAGCCCCCACAAACCCCACCCAAAAACATGCCAAAACCGCACTTTACTCGCCCAATATATTCACTTCCTCTCTCTCTCTCTGTTTATTGCTAAATATGCAATAATTTTTGTACTTTTTTTCTATTTCCTGCCATTTTCCGGCATACCGAATAAAATGGTGGCTGGATGTGCCATAGTTAGTGGTATTATTTGTAGTTTATTTTCAACCTAATAGCATTTATTTTCACATGCGGTTAGCGGGCTAACAAAAAACCCTTTGGCTCTTTTGTCCTCCATTGACTATATTTTTTTTCTTCCAACATTTGATTTGAGGCAAAAACTATCTTCTTTGTTAAAATTCCTGAATCGCATACATGTCTGATCTTTGGTCTGGCTAACAAATTGATTCTTTGTTAGATTTTATTACATACGATTAGAGGCAAAATAATAGCAGTAATATAAGCTGCTAATCAATTATATTAGAAATATACTGAAATAATTTTTTTATTTTATTTTTCTTTAAATTCAAGCAAGATAATAGCAGTAAAAATAGCGGCTTATCAGCTATTATTACATACGGTTAGAGGCAAAATAATAGCAGTAATATTAGCTGCTTATCAATTTTATTAGCAATATAAAGAAATAATTTTTTTTTTTTTTTAATTCGTTGAGCGGTTGCTCATAAGTATTTGATCCAGCTTTTAGGCCTGAAAATTTATTATCTTAATTCGAAAAAAAGACAAAATTGTTATAAAAATTCATAAAATATTTTTTCTGTATAGCGAGTCAAAGATCTAGTTTTTAGAACTCTTTAAAATTGTATTAGATTTAGCCTTAAATACTTAAGTTAATTTTGTAAATCAAAAAGATTTATTTTGTTTTTTTTTTTTAGAGTAAAACTGCACTATAATTTTAACCAATTCTGTATATATTTCAATATATATCTTTTTTGTGCTCAATTCCCATGCAGTCGAAGCCAAAGAAAAACAGAAACACATACCACATAGTACAACCTACAGAAAAATAATACAAATTAAATTTTCATATGAATTATATTGCTGGTCACGTAGGCTGAATAAGGAAGGGGAGTGGGGCGGCGAGGAGCGACAGGAGTGGGTTTGGGCAAATGTGAGGGGTGTGTATGGTCTCACAGGAGAGGGAGCTGGTGGCTGGTGTGTGGTGTGTGGGTAGAGTGTCAAAAGGGAATTGACCATTGATAGGTATTATGTGACTGGCTGACCAAAAGGACAGGCTCTGACCAACATTTAATTTCCTTTTGCTGAATGCCACCCACAACTGCCTGGCTCCAACATCTCTTCCTCTGCGCCCCTTAGAGCAGCACTTTTCCTGCTTTTCCCCGCTGCCTTCAAACCAGCAGCAACTTAATTGCTTCGCCCACGTCAATGCGACAAAACGGCAAAAGACATAATTAATAGCAGCCAGAATTGTGGCTGAGCGGGAGGAGCAGGCGAAGGAGGTCTCATTTATCGATTTTCAGCTTCCAAAAAGGAAGACCCCCAGCCGAAAGGCAAGGGGCTCCACAGCTCCTAAATTCCATTTTACCCGGCAATGTCAATTGGCCTTCGGCCATAAAGCGTTTTAATATGCGCTAAAGTAGTCAAAGTACAGCGGCAGACAGACAGACAGACAGAGAGAGCCGCGTGTTTGCTTGTTTAAATTGTTTAAAATGTCAACTTGATTGCCGCCTAATTAAATGCCAGAAATCCTTAAAGACAACAACAGCAACAGCAAGACCTGGGCAGAAAGAGGACTAATGCTGAGGGAGGAGTTCAAAAACTGTGGATAGACCTGGACGAAGAGTTCTCTCTCTCCAAGCGAAATAAACAGAAAACTTTCGCGAAATTAAGCCTAATTTCGGAGGCTGAAGCTAAGAAATACCCTGCAATATCGATGGAGTTTTTAGATTTCAGTGAAAATAATTATTTTGCACTAGTGCAAACCTCTGAGATTTATCATCTACATTATTTATTTATTATTATTATTTATTTATTATTTATCTACATTTTTAAATAAAAGAAATATTATATTTATTATGGAGCCACAAACTAAATCCCAGTTTTCATATTACACTCATCTGGAAGAGTAGTAATTAACAATTGGCTCCTCCAAAAAGCCCAATTGAAAGCAATGTCATTGAGACACAGACACAAACAACAAAGAGAGAGCTAGGGGGGGCAAAGACATTTAGGGGGCACAACAGTTCAGGGGCAAAGCTGTTTATAGTAAATAACACAGGAGTATTCACAGGATTTTGTCCCGTCTGTCTGTCTTTGGTTAGTGCCAAAAAACATGGCTTAAAGGGTTTCGTTGCCGTCTGTGGACAAGCAACCAATCAAGTGTGCCTGTGGCCAGGGACAGGGAAAAACATTTAATTTCAATTACAAATCAATTTATTTGCAAGACAAATCAAGGCATACACTTTTGATTGATTCGAAATGTACGATTGGGGAGGGAAAAGCAAGGGGAATGGTGGCTTTTCAGATGATTGTTTTTATTCTTAAGGGTTGGTGCTGATTGTGCAAGATTGTAGCGACAATTCAGACTTGAAAGAGGTCTACAAGGCGCCACTGAAACATCTGAAAGGTCATTCTAACATACAGCCAGAGAAAAAAATCACTTCAGATACTTATTCTTGTAAAGGTAGACTCTTTCCTTTATTTACTATAGACGGACGCCCAGCCATCAATCCTAACAATAGCCTGCCCCGAAAACAATTCAAAATTCAATTAATCCGATTTACAACTGAAACAACCCCAAACAAATCCCCTCAATTTGTTTGGGTAACAAGCAAAAACACAACATATTTTTGCCCCCTATTGATAAGGCACTTAATTAAATGCAAACACAGTTATTTTCAGCTTTTTTTTTTTGTTGTTTTCTGCCTCTGCTCCGCAAAAGCCAATAAATTTTTGCAATTTTATTTGAGCTT